CCCCGCCCTGTGACATCCGGGTGTCTACCCACCCTAACAGCACCGGGTGAAACGCCTCCTGAGAGCAGAGTCGCAACTCTCACCACTCTCATGCTGAACGAGGGGCCCCTGTAACCCCACCTGACTGTCCTTCCTGCAGTTCCAGCCCAGAACCCGCTCAGGCCAAGAGGACAGCAGTGGTGCGGGGGCTGGCCCGGGGCCCCCACTGGGCTTGGGAGGGCAGTTGGTGGTTCTGAGGATGGTCTCTGGCCTGAGACCCCTGGGGATTCCCAGAGGTTTTGCTGAAGATGCTTGGCCCTGGCCTCTGGCCCCTCTGACCAAGGGGGCAGAAGGCAGCCCTGAGCTGGCTGTGACCCCAAACAGAGCCTCCACGTGATGCTTTTGGAGCACGGAGCACTGCCTGGACCCCAAGCATCCCCTGGGATCCCCATGAAAGTGGGTCACGAGCCCTTCTTGTGGGGCTCAACCGCAGAGTGAGGGGCCCAGGCTCTGTCCACTGTGCCAGAGCAGCAGCCTCGAGGCTCCTTGCGGGCCCGGGGCAGACAGGGGCTGGGGGGCTGGGGACCGCCCAGAGCAGGAGTGGGCTGCTGGCTACTCCCTGAACCCGGTACAGGAGACGGCCCACTGGGGTGAGGAATGCGGGGAGGCCAGCTGGGAGAGCAGGGTTCTCATCCATCAGCCCCAATGTCCCTTTTGTATAGCAAGTAAGTATTTTATAACACCTCTTTTACTCTCCTGAAATGAAATTCATAGGCTATACAAGCTACCTCCATAGAGAATTGTTTAAAAAAAAAAAATACAATGCCCTGAACCATAACATAAAGGACAACTAGGAAATAATTTATGGTAAAATGAGATCAAATACTGTAGCTGAATGGTGGAACACGAGTACATTCCTACTGATAATGAAGTCATCAGATGCTCACACAAACTTCTGATGCATAATTTAGACTCGAGAGAACTAAATTCCACATGAGGCATACCAGGAAACGAGAGAGCATCTCCAGGAGGATGTGACAACTCAAAATCACAACTTGGGGTTAAGTTCTGAATAAAACAACACAGTCATTCCAGATTTGCTGGATAGTTTCTCTCATTGAAAAGTGACTGGAATACACCCTACTATATACAAAATAGATAATCAACAAGGACCTACTGTATGGCACAAGGAACTCTACTCAATACTCTGTAATAACCTATATGGGAAAAGAATCTGAAAAAGAATGGATATATATATATATGTATCACTTTGCTGTACACCTGAAACTAACACAACATTGTAAATCAACTATAGTCCAATATAAAATAAAAGTTAAATTTAAAAAGATGGTAACATCCAAAAACCTGAAAAAAAAGTGCGCGTATGTTAAAATCTTACAAATACGTGTTCATAAGTAATTGGTCTTAGGCCCTAGGCTTGGCTAACTTGAAGTAGGCATTTCATTCAGGACCAAATTGGAAGGACCGCAGAAATCATGTGTCTTATAATCCTGGCCTCCCACTGCAGTCACTGTCACAACCCAAGTGGCTCCAAGGGATCCCCTGTTGAGACCGACCTGCAGCAGGACCAGTCCCAAGAACCAGCCGTCCCCCTTCCCAGAGCAGCCCCACTCCTTCCCCGACACTCCCTTGGAGCTCTTGGAGACCTCAGAACCACACCCCGCATCCCACAGGCTGGTGGGCAGAGGCCTGGGCAAGTCCAGGACCTCCGAGCACACCCCGCCACGCCACCCCATTCCTGTTCCTAAGGCCTGGTCTGTCACTCTTCACACTCCCTGGCATAGCGCTGTGGCGAGGATGGCAAACTCCAAAACACGCCTAGGCCTGCAGAGTGTCTGTGTACATGTGACCACGTCTATATGTTTATTGTCCCCCAGTCTTATACACAGAGATCAAAGAACGGTGGACAAGGTCATGTTCTAAACTTTTAAAACTTTTAATTAAAAAAACCCACACAGTCCCAGGTTGGGCATGGAGAGGTTGGTGTGGTACATGGAGGTCTGGTGAGAAGAAAGAGGCCTGGGTTGTCCCTTGGGGGTGTGCTGAGTGCTGCTGGGGTTTCTGAGTGCCCAGCGCCGTGGGAGCTGAGGACTCGATCCCGGAGATGCTCCCAGGCCTGTCTGTGGGTAGGGGGACTCCTCCCCTTCCTGGGCCCCTCTGGGCAGGGGCTTTGGAGACTCTGTCTCTTGCACCTCCTGTGAGGGTCCATCCCCGAACCAGAAACCACTCAGGGATGGCAGGATGGGAGGGAAAAGGCTGCCATCTCCAGGCCTCGGGGTACCCACAGCCTCCAACATGGAGCTGGTCCCTTCCATTTCCCAGGCCTGGGTGATCTGCAGCTCCCCGGGGCCCCCTGTGGAGCCCAGGTCTAGGTCTGGCCAGGTCATGAGGGCTGCCTCCCTATGTGGGCTGGGTTCCCAGGGAAACCAGGCCATAGTAGGGTCCAGAGGGCACCCCCTTCCCAGAGCAAGGGCTGAGCCAGGCTGAAAGCTCCAAGAGGCAAGCAGTGCAGAAATGCAACAAAATCCTGAGTTAGTAACTCCCTTCTGGGCCCCTGATTGCAGCAAGAAAGGTGAGGTACTTCGGGGGTTCTCCATTCCTGTTCATCTCAGCCCCCAACCCAGTCAGGGCCCTAGGGCTATCCTACCAACTGACCCTGAGAGAAGAGGCCTGCTCAGGGCCTCACCGCATACCCAGAGAAGCTTTCCCCATCTCCTGGGGTGACAGCGGGGATGGGAGGCATCCAAGGTCCTTACAAGGAGAAGCCTCTTGACTGGACCAGGTTGGGGGGACCTGTAGGAAGTGTGTCCCCTGGAGTCCAGGTCTAGTAGCGGCCACAGCCTCCTCCTTGCCTTGCAGCCTTTATTCTCACTGGCCCAGCATGCAGGCCTTCTTACAGGCCACCGCGGAGATCAAGGCCGCACCCCGGCCGCTGCCCTCCTCCGACTCGATGAAGGTGATTTCACAGCTGGGCGTCAGCCTGCGCACGCTGGCGTGGAACCGCTCCTTGAAGCTGAGCAGGGGGCAAGCGGGGCTGCGGTTAGTTAACGCGCTTAAGGCAGGGCAGGGGGTAAGCCAAGGGGAACCTCCCCCTGAGTCTGTGGGCTTAGGGGAGCGAGGAGATTAAGAATCCTTGGGACCTCGGAGAGCATCCGTTTCGGCCTGCATATCACAGATGGAGACCGATGCCCGGGCTCTGCCCTTAGGAGGCGAACTCACAAGAGGGAGGCTGGACCCGGCGGGGAGGTGCAGACGGCTGAGCGGGCCCACCTGGGGTGCAGCTTGTACACCGAGCCGTCCACGCCCACGGTGATGCGCATCACGTCCTCGCTGCGGCTCTCGCGCATGCGGTTGATGACGCCCGCCAGCCCCGCGGCGCACATGCGCGCGGCGCGGGTGGACACGCTCTCGCAGGCGCGGCGCACGATGTCGCAGTCGGTGGCCGACGGCCTCAGCCCCAGCGTGCTCAGGATGTTGTAGATCTGCTTGCGGTCGCCCGAGTCACTGCGGGGCGGGGACAGGAGGGCGTCGCGGGAGGGTCGCTCGGTCCCGGCCCAGCCCAATCCCCACAGCGGCGGCTTCTTCTCCTCCCCCTGCCCACCTCTCCCAGGCAAAGCGCTTTTGGGGCTCGGGCTTCCGAGCGGAGCGGGTCTGACTCCGCCAGGGACCAGCAGTAATCTGGTCATTACTCCTCTCTCTAAACCCAGGGTTTCCGCCCTAACGTGGGTGACACTGCCGTGCCTCGGGGCCATTGCGTGGATGAAGTGAGATGAGGTCCACAGCGGGTGGGGAAGCACAGAGAGGACGCCTGGTCTCCGTCAGCTGCCCGACGCCGGGCTCCCCTGGGGGCTGAAGGCCACTACCGCCGCCGTTGCCCCACCCCGGAACCTTACCAGGTCCTGGGCTCCTTCCCCCTGACCTCACCAGGGGCCCGCCCCTGCGCTCTGAGCCCCGCCCGGGCCCCGCCCCCACGACCCGTGGGTCCGGGTCCAGGACACCTCCCCGCGCACGCCACCCCTGTACCCCACCCTTCGACCCCGCGCGCCCGCGCACCTCTCCACCTGCGACACGAAGCGTGTCTCGAAGGCGCCGCGCGTGCGCAGCTTCTCCGAGGCCTCCCCGTGGAAGAGCAGGTTCTCGTCCACAAGCTTCAGCAGCACGAGCCGCACCAGCTCGCCCATGTACTTGCCGCCGATGAGCTTCTCGTACCTGGAGAGCAGCCGGGTCACCCCTAGGAGGGAGGTCCCCACCAGCAGGCAGAGGCCAGCCACCACCCCCAGTCACAGCCAAGAGGAAGCCATGTGGGACGCTGTGACCACCCCCCGCCTTGGCAAAACCGGGTTCATGCCCGTTCCCACATTTATCAACAGGGGCTTTGGGGCCTTGGGAGAACGCTCTGCTGTGGGGCCTCGGTTCAGACCCTCTGAGGTCATCCTCAGGGAGGACCCTGCGCTGAGCCCACTTGGGTTTTCCCACAGCTGTGGAACGAGTGCTGTTCTCATCACCCAGTGTAAACTCGGGGAGCTCAGGCTTAGAGCAGCTAGTGACCAGCCTTGGGCGGGCCTCTGCTCACTTGCTAGGGCTCCTAGGTCCCTGCACTCCTGGAATCCACGGAGTTGGCCCGGTGGCGCTAGAGTCTGTAAATCTCCGTATTTTCATCTTGTAGCACACTGAATACTACCGACCTAGTAGAGGTTTATGAGAGCCCAAGAGGAAGCTCACCAAAGAATTAGCACGTGCCTGGCGCGCCGCAGAAGGCGGCTGATGAAGGAGAGCCCTGACTCAGGACAAGCTCTGTGAGGGCTGGCTCTCCAGCTGTCTGCGAACCCGCAGCATACCCGCAAATAGTATGATTCATTCTGTGAACGTGTTCAGAGCTGTACTTTGGGGAACTCTGGGCTACACCCAGTTCACGTTGCTGGGGGGCGTCTCAGAGCCTTCCTGTGCCAGGGGTCACCTGTCGGAAGCGGGGAGGTTCCCGCTCATGTATCCACAGACCCTCTTTTTTTTTTTTTTTTTTTTTTTTTTCTTGCGTTATGCGGGCCTCTCACTGTTGTGGCCTCTCCCATTTGCAGGCCCTCTTTTTTTTTTTTTTGTAGTCTTAGTTTGGCCACACTGCGTGGCATGTGGGATACGACCAGGGATGGAACCCACGTCCCCTGTAGTAGAAGGACAGAGTCTTAACCACTGGGCCGCAAGGGAAGTCCCCATAGACCCTCTTTTTAAAGACTAATCCTTGGCATCTCTCACTGTTCCCGGTTCACAGAGGGGCACACGCATACGAGCTGAAGGAAGAGCCAGCTTACGAAGGGATTGTCAGTTTGCTTTTCCCCAGAGCTGTTTAAAAACAAGCCCATTATCTGCGGGCCGGCCCCATCTGCCGCCAGAGCGGGGCGGGGCCGTCGTGTGGGGAGGGGGAGGGGCGGTCCTTACAGCTGCTGGCCGGGGTTCAGGGAGTTCTCGTCCACCACACGGTCGTACTCCAGCAGGAACCCGTCCAGCTCGCCCGATTCCCCGAAGGCACCCCACTCGGTGTTGACACACATGCGGCCCTCGTCCCCTTCCACCAGCTCCACGTTCTGCATCTCCTCCATGTAGCAGGCGTTGCAGCCCGTGCCTGCGAGAGGCCGCAGCGTCAGGCCCCACCTGGCGCTGCGCTTCCTGGGATGCCCCCTCTGCTGGGTGCATCCCCCCAGCAGGAAGCCCCGTGCGGCCCTGTCTTCCCAGCTTCCTTGAGCCCTCCACCCCCAGCACTCCCTACATCCCCTGGAGCAAAGGAAACCAGCTCTCCCAAGAGCTGGAAGACCTGGGTTTGCTGTGTGACCTCAGGTAGATAAGCCCAACTCCCAGGGCGGTTCCTCTTCCCCAAGAGGGGTTGGTAACACCTACTCCTATTACCTGGGTAGTTGAGAGAAATGAGGGAAAGAACATGTGTCAGAGTGCTTTGCCAATTAAGAGATGGGTATGGGATGTTATGATTTTGTCTTATCTGTGCACCACCCTTGTGTTCTGGCACTTTCTAAGCATGTGTTTGAGCTCCTCTGTACCAGGCTCTGTTGTGGGGAGGAGGCGGGCACCCAGAGGTGAGTAAGTCACAGTGTGGGCCCTCGGGAGCAGCACACGGGCCATTGCAGGCGGGCCTGGCTAAGGAATTTGTAATTTGCAGGGTCCCATGCAAAGTGAAAACATGAGGTCCTTTGTTCATAAACTGAGAGTTTCAAAATGGTGACAGCAGAGCTTCAATCTGAAAGTGACTGCACACCCCTCAAGCCATCAGGGACAGCAACTCAGTCATGCCAACCTCACACCAGCAGTGGAGCTGCCTGGAATTCAGGCCCAGTGATGCCGGGCCTTCCAAGTTTTTGTGGGGAAAAAACAGAAATCCAGACTTTGATATGGTTTCTCCCAATGTTTAGCGCTTGGTGATTATCATAAACATGTTTCTAAGCACATCAGGGCAGATGCGACCACGCGCCACTCTGCCATCTCTGCTCCAGATGGGGCGAGCCCGAGGCAAGCGGCTGTAGAGCCCAGGTGGTGGTGTCTTGGGGAACCGGAGAGAGCCAGGGGAGCACTGCCAGGGGCCCTGGAGCTCCTGTTTAGGTGTGGACTTAAAGAAGTTTCCTATCAAACTCTTAGAGGAAAACATAGGCAGAACACTCTAGGACATAAATCACAGCAAGATCCTTTTTGACCCACCTCCTAGAGAAATGGAAATAAAAACAAAAATAAACAAATGGGACCTAATGAAACTTAAAAGCTTTTGCACAGCAAAGGAAACCATAAACAAGACGAAAAGACAACCCTCAGAATGGGAGAAAATATTTGCAAACGAAGCAACTGACAAAGGATTAATCTCCAAAATTTACAAGCAGCTCATGCAGCTCAATATCCAAAAAACAAACAACCCAATCCAAAAATGGGCAGAAGACCTCAATAGACATTTCTCCAAAGAAGATATACAGATTGCCAACAAACACATGAAAGAATGCTCAACATCATTAATCATTAGAGAAATGCAAATCAAAACTACAATGAGATATCATCTCACACCGGTAAGAATGGCCATCAAAAAATCTACAAACAATAAATGCTGGAGAAGGTGTGGAGAAAAGGGAACACTCCTGCACTGTTGGTGGGAATGTAAATTGATCCAGCCACTATGGAGAACAGTATGGAGGTTCCTTAAAAAACTAAAAATAGAACTACCATACGACCCAGCAATCCCACTACTGGGCATATACCCTGAGAAAACCATAATTCAAAAAGAGTCATGTACCAAAATGTTCATCGCAGCTCTATTTACAATAGCCCAGACATGGAAGCAACCTAAGTGTCCATCAACAGATGAATGGATAAAGATGTGGCACATATATACAATGGAATATTAGTCAGACATAAAAAGAAACGAAATTAAGTTATTTGTAGTGAGGTGGATGGACCTAGAGTCTGTCATACAGAGTGAAGTAAGTCAGAAAGAGAAAAACAAATACCTTATGCTAACACGTACATATGGAATCTAAAAAAAAAAAAAAGATGCAGACCTACTAGAGAATGGACTTGAGGACACGGGGAGGGGGAAGGGTAAGCTGCATGACTTCATTTGTCTTTGTCTTATGTGAGAGAGTGGCATGGACATACATACACTACCAAACGTGAAATAGATAGCTAGTGGGAAGCAGCCACATAGCACAGGGAGATCAGCTCGGTGCTCTGTGACCACCTAGAGGGGTGGGATAGGGAGGGTGGGAGGGAGATGCAAGAGGGAGGGAATATGGGGATATACGTATACGTATAGCTGATTCACTCTGTTATAAAGCAGAAACTAACACACCATTGTAAAGCAGTTATACTCCAATAAAGATGTTAAAAAAAAAAAAAAAAGAACTTTCCATCCGAAAGGTGAGAATGGAAGGAGGAGATGTGAGAAACTAGAGGAGAGGCAGAGAGCAGGCCGCCGGCCCCTTAGGACATGTGCACGCAATTGGAGATGGGTCCTAAGAACACAGAAACCCTCAGGGCTGGCCCTGAAGAGGTCGTGGAAGCAAACAAATTTAATGCTGACTTTCTGGGAACCAGGGAAATACCCGCTCGCCTGTGTGTCCAGTAAACACTCCTCAGTAAACACTCATTGTAAGGCCTTGGGAACTTCTGGGAAAGCCCCTTGGTTGGTGGGAAAGGGCCACTGGGGCCAGTGCTGCCTCCTTTCCTGGTACCTGCCTCCACTTCGGGCAGGGCAGACGGCTGCCCCGGGGTGTGGTAAGACTGTCCAGGGAGGGATGACACCACTCTGGTTTATCCTCTTCCACTTGGACGAATCTGTCCAGGTCGGTCAACTTACCAGATAAGGTGATTTAATTAAATCCTGATGGGCCAGGTGGACGTGAGCTGGTACACCATCTGAGGCAGTGACTTGTGAGTGTTGAAATGCTTCCTACCAATAAACAGCACCTGTTTATTGGTACACCCAATACCAATGTACATTGGTGTATTGTCTGCCGGGACACCCCTGCTGCTCCCTAAGACCCTGGGCTCCAGCACCTCTGGGGTCCATGACTAGCGCAGAGGCCGTGTGCAGCCTGCTGAAGACGGGAAGCCTCGGCCCATCTTTGGTGGTGGCCAAGACCCCTGGGTCAGGCAGGGAGCACATGCTTACCCACAATCATGCCAACCTCACACCGGCGGTCTTCATAGTAGCAGGAGATCATCGTGGCCACAGTGTCGTTCACCATCGCCACCACGTCCATCTCAAAGTCCTGCCAAGAGGCATAGAGGCAGTGGCGATGGGGCTGGGGGGGTTCTCAGCCTGCTCCAGGCCAGTCCAGCCAGGTGCAGAAGGCAGAGACCCCTTCCTGGGGGGACGCCCAGAAGGCCCTCCCTGGCTTCCCTGCAGGAGGGGAGGGGGAGGGGGCCCAGGGTAGGGGCAGGTGCAGATGCTACTCACCCCTCTCCGTTTGATGGCATCTCGCAGGAGCCCCACGATGTTGTTCCCTTCTGCTCCTGAGGCCTTGAAGCCCTTGGTCCAGTTGAGAAGGATGCCCTGGGGGGAGAGGGGGGCCTCGGTGGCTGCTGGATGCTGGGGGCAGGCGTGAAGGGACGGGAGCTAACTCGGACCACAGGGATGTGTACCCACTTTATAATTAACCTTTCTTTTAAATTAATTAATTAATTTTTATTTATTTATCCGGCTGCACCAGGTCTTGGTTGCAGCACGTGGAATCTTCGTTGCGGCACGCGGGATCCTTAGTTGCGGCATGCGAACTCTTAGTTGTGGCATGTGGGATCTAGTTCCCCGACCAGGGATTGAACCCGGGCCCCCTGCATTGGGAGCGCAGAGTCTTAGCCACTGGACCACCAGGGAAGTCCCTGTGCACCCACTTTAAAGCTGAGGAAACTGAGGCTCAAAGCAGCCATATAAGTTCAAGAAGTGTTGGAGGTAATTTTCTACCAATATCTCATATTTCTGCAGGGCTGGGTCCCAGCCAATTTAAGAATGCTTGTATAGTTAAGCCCAGGGTCATCATCCCAGAGTGAGGATGAGGTCCAGAGGGGTGCAGCCAGTATAAGATCAGGGCTCCTCTCCTGTGTGCACCCTCTGCGTGTGAAGGTCCCACCTGGCCCTCAGTGCCCAGCAGGCACAATATGAGATGTTGCTCCTGCTACTGCTTCTGCCAGGAGTACTGACCTGGCTTTCTCTCTGACCCAGAGGTCCTGTGTGTTATGTATAACTGTGCGTTATGTTTGGATCATTTACACACACACGTATATATGTATGTATAATCAATGCGTGTGGGTGTGTATGTATCGTTGACCTGTGAATGTGTATATATGTATGATTGACATGCGCATATATGCATGCATGTATACTTGACATGTGGAAATATGCATGTGTAATCTACACATTTATATGTATGTATACTTGATATGTATAATTTACATGTATATATGTATGTATGATTGGCATGTGTAGATATATATGAATATATAACTGGCCCGTGTATATATATGTATGTATAATTTATGTATGCATAAAAATATGCATGTACAATTTATGTGTTTATATGTATGTATAATCGACATGAGTTCATGCATGTGTATAATTTAAATATGTGCAGTGCATACATTTATGTGTACAATTCACATGTAAAATTTATGTGCATACATACATATAATTTACACATGTCTATGTGAGCATGCGTAACTGGTGTGTGTGTGTGTGTGTGTGTGTAATTTACATGTACGTGTGTGTGTGTGTAACTGTGACAGGCTAACTTGCCAGCTGGAAGGCAGGGTAGACCCTCAGCCCCGGCACATTGCCACCTCTGCCACAGGCAGCGGTACAGCACAGAGATGACACACAGGTGTGTTGGAGCCTGTTTGCCTGAGTTGGAGCCGCAGCACCGCCACTTCCCACCATGGGCAAGTTGCTACACCTCAGTTTCCTAACCTGTAATGGGGGTGATACGCACACCTCATAGGGTTGTGGGACGTAAATAGTAAGAATCAGCTAATACGATCATTTCCCAGAGTCTCACGAGAGGTAAGTGATGGAGCCAGTTTGAATCCAAGGCTCTTTCCCGACAATGGGAGCTGCATTTGAAGGCAGCACAGGGCAGAGTTCATGGGTGCCTTTCTCTGGGGTGTCTGTCCATCCATCCGTCCACCTCCCCCCACCCACGCTACACCTGGTACCACCTTGTCGATGTCTTCGTGCCTCACAGGAAAGGAGAAGGTGAAGCCCAAGGGTAGCTTCTTGTGCTTCATCTGATGCTTGTCCAGGAAGTCGGAGATGCACTCAGAGATGTAGTCAAAGAGCTGCAGGATGCACACCAAGGTGTCCATCAGTGGCAGGGGCGAGCCTCCTGCCGAGGCGCTCCTCAGCCCTTGCTGAGCCATAGGGCCCCAGGAGAGCGTGGCCTCCGCACTGCTTGTCGGGATTCAGGCCCTGAGCCCCACCTCATGCCACAGTCCCGCTGACAGCAGCCCTCGGGACAGGGCAACACCAGGACGACGGGGTTGGTCCCTAGCCCAGCTGTGCTCTGTTAGCCTGGCCCTCCCAGCTGGACCCTGTGGAGTCCAGTCTCAGGCTTTGGACAGAGGCACATCCCTGGCGATAACTACGATTTCTGACTCCAGCATAGAGTATTCTTTGTTGCCTCCAAGTGTTCTGGCCACCCCACCCCTGGGCCTGCGAGGACCAGCTGCCACCTCATTCACAAAGGCCTATCCACAGACCTGGGCGTTACAGAGTGCCCTGCTGATTGACTGAGCTCCCTGATGGGCGCCAGCGTTGCTCCATGCCCAGACCCACGGCATGCGGGGCTGTGGCAAGGACCAGGCGGCCACTGGCCTCCTACCTTGAAGCCCTGCCCCTCGCGGGAATTGGCTCTGGCTGCTCCCCACCTCCGCCCAGGGCTCATCCTACTTCTGTGGTCCTTCCCGAGTCCTCCCCGTGGTCAGATATTAGCATTGCAGTCATGCCACTTGGCATCCATGCTGGTGGAGGGTGAGGGCGACATGTGGGGTGGAGATAGAACGATGGGCTGCGAGCCTGTTGGACCAGCGTATTCTCTTGGCTGCCCTGCCTTGTTCCAGATCCTTCTGGGAAACTGGGCAGGGGTGCGACCTTCCGGGGCCGCACCCAGTGGCCGTCCACCTAAGCCTCTCAGCTCCCTCCTCCTCCTGCAGCAGGGTCCAACAGGTGGGCCCTCCCACCAGCACTAGCCAAGCTCCAAGATCCTGGGTGGTCCTGACCGAGGTCCCTGGCCCGCCAAGCCCTAGCCTGAGCTGCTCACCATCTCAGCAGTGCCCGTCATGGCGTCCTCGGGGATGGAGTACATCTGGTGCTTGGTTTTCACACTCCACTGTCCCTCCTCCCCTTCCCCCACCTTCACAAGCATCACCCTGAAGTTGGTGCCGCCCAGGTCCAGGGAGAGGAAGTCCCCGACTTCTGCAGCCACAGAGAGAAGCACATCAGTCTCATGGGCACCACCTGGCAGGAGCCCCCAAGACTGGTAGAGGAGGAGGGGAAGGCGTGGGGGGGGGACCAGAAGAGCTGAACGAGGGGCCCCCGATGCCAGACATCTGGGGGACCCCAGGATAAACTGTGGAAAGGGCAAAGGTGAACTGGGGAAGTCAGCAGGA